AAACTGTACACACAACGGTCTTAGGTTTGATGGTTATTGAACTTTAGCAACACGACCGTGGTTTGACGTCTGCTCTAAAGGTGCAGTCCACAACCGTGGTTTGACGTCTGTTCTAAAGGTACCGTCAACACGACTGTGGTTTGGCGTCTGTTCTAAAAAGTGCCGTCAACACGACCGTGGTTTGATGTCTGTCTGAAAGGTGCCGTCAACACGACCGTGGTTGGACGTCTGTCCTAAAGGTGCTGTCAACACGACTGTGGTTTGGCGTCTGTTCTAAAAGATGCCGTCAACACAACCGTGGCTTGACGTCTGTCCTAAAGGTGCCGTCAACACGACCGTGGTTTGACGTCTGTCCTGAAGGTGCCGTCAACACGGACTATACACAACAATTTATTCTTAATCTTTGTCGAGGTTTCAACTTCACCACAATCGGGTTTCCCCAAATTCGCTCCGTTCCCGTGCCAGTACAAATCAAATGAAATGTCCCTCGCTGTCCCATCTGAAAAACTGATGAACAAACAATTAGTCTCGGAAAAATCCAGACATATGCGCTCTCAGTCAATACATATGGCAGTTGCTAGAGACGCCAATCCAACAGTCGCCACCTAAAAGGCGGTTTTACGTTGATTGAAGTACTCGGGAACGATACGTTAGCTTTACACAGGTAGAATTGTTACATAAGGTATTTCACTAGCTCACATGTAGACCGACTACAGAGTATATTAAATACCACGACATATCTGCTGCACAAATGAAAGTTATTCCACATAAAAAGCACAGCTCACAGGGCTGCCCCGAGCACTTAACTCAGTGGCTCAGGCAGTGAAACCGTAGACTACCGTCGATATGTTATATTGCATTGGCAAAGCGCTGTTTGGGTGTGGGGGCACAAATGACTTCGAAGCTTAACCTTCTGTCATGCCATTTTAGGCCAAAAGCCTCCATTACTTTATCTTAAGTGAGACTGACAGTAACACCTCTGACCACTTCTTTTTGTGTAGTGCTCGACACTTTGTTCTGTATGTGTTGTGCTCGACACTTTGTTCTGTATGTGTTGTGCTCGACACTTTGTTCCGTATGTGTAGTGCTCGACACTTTGTTCTGTATGTGTAGTGCTCGACACTTTGTTCTGTATGTGTAGTGCTCGACACTTTGTTCTGTATGTGTAGTGCTCGACACTTTGTTCTGTATGTGTAGTGCTCGACACTTTGTTCTGTATGTGTAGTGCTCGACACTTTGTTCTGTATGTGTTGTGCTCGACACTTTATTCTGTATGTGTAGTGTTCGATACTTTGTTCTGTATGTGTTGTGCTCGACACTTTGTTCTGTATGTGTAGTGCTCGACACTTTGTTCTGTATGTGTAGTGCTCGACACTTTGTTCTGTATGTGTAGTGCTCGACACTTTGTTCTGTATGTGTAGTGCTCGACACTTTGTTCTGTATGTGTAGTGCTCGACACTTTGTTCTGTATGTGTTGTGCTCGACACTTTGTTCCGTATGTGTAGTGTTCGACACTTTGTTCGTATGTGTAGTGTTCGACACTTTGTTCTGTATGTGTTGTGCTCGACACTTTGTTCCGTATGTGTAGTGTTCGACACTTTGTTCGTATGTGTAGTGTTCGACACTTTGTTCTTTATGTGTAGTGCTTGATACTTTGTTCTGTATGTGTAGTGTTGTTTACTGTTAGACCTTTAGACGGAATAAGTCCTGTTTAGAGGCAAAAACTGTTGATTAATGTAGGACAAAAAACATTAGACCAATCGAGGCCAGTCGGTCTGTGTAGTTTTAGTATCAATTGACTGTCCACCAATGCCAAACTACAACTGGTCGTTCACAACCGACCCATGTCCTAGCAAGATAAAGCAATGACAAGCTCTGTGACAGTTGTTTTGCACAAGCCACCCATGTTCTAGCAAGATGAAGCAATTACAAGCTCTGTGACTGTTGTCTTGCGCAAGCCACACGTGTAATAGCAAGGTGAAGCAATGACAAGCTCTGTGACAGTTGTCTTGTACAAGTCACCCATGTTCTAGCAAGATAAAGCAATGACATTATCTGTGACAGTTGTCTTGCACAAGCCACCCGTGTACTAGCAAAGTAAAACATTGACAAGCTCTGTGACAGTTGTCTTGTACAAGCCACCCGTGTTCTAGCAAGATGAAGCAATGACAAGCTCTGTGACAGTTGTCTTGCACAAGCCACCCATGTTCTAGCAAAATGAAGCAATGACAAGCTCTGTGACAGTTGTGTTGTACAAGCCACCCATGTTCTAGCAAGGTGAAGCATTGACAAGCTCTGTGACAGTTGTGTTGTACAAGCCACCCATGTTCTAGCAAGGTGAAGCAATGACAAGCTCAGTGAAAGTTGTCTTGCACAAGCCACCTGTGTTCTAGCAAGATGAAGCATTGACAAGCTCTGTGACAGTTGTCTTGCACAAGCCACCCGTGTTCTAGCAAGATGAAGCATTGACAAGCTCTGTGACAGTTGTCTTGCACAAGCCACCCGTGTTCTATCAAGATAAAGCAATAACAAGCTCTGGGACAGTTGTCTTGTACAAGTCACCCGTGTACTAGCAAGGTGAAGCAATGACAAGCTCTGTGACAGTTGTCTTGTACAAGCCACCCATGTTCTAGCAAGATGAAGCAATGACAAGCTCTGTGACAGTTGTCTTGCACAAGCCACGCATGTTCTAGCAAGGTGAAGCAATGACAAAGTCTGTGACAGTTGTCTTGCACAAGCCACCCATGTTCTAGCAAGATGAAGCAATGACAAGCTCTGTGACAGTTGTGTTGTACAAGCCACCCATGTTCTAGCAAGGTGAAGCATTGACAAGCTCTGTGACAGTTGTGTTGTACAAGCCACCCATGTTCTAGCAAGGTGAAGCATTGACAAGCTCAGTGAAAGTTGTCTTGCACAAGCCACCTGTGTTCTAGCAAGGTGAAGCAATGACAAGCTCTGGGACAGTTGTCTTGCACAAGCCACCTGTGTTCTAGCAAGGTGAAGCAATGACAAGCTCTGTGACAGTTGTGTTGTACAAGCCACCCATGCTCTAGCAAGGTGAAGCAATGACAAGCTCTGTGACAGTTGTCTTGCACAAGCCACGCATGTTCTGGCAAGGTGAAGCAATGACAAGCTCTGTGACAGTTGTCTTGCACAAGCCACGCATGTTCTAGCAAGATGAAGCAATGACAAGCTCTGTGACAGTTGTCTTGCACAAGCCACGCATGTTCTAGCAAGATGAAGCAATGACAAGCTCTGTGACAGTTGTCTTGCACAAGCCACCTGTGTTCTAGCAAGGTGAAGCATTGACAAGCTCAGTGAAAGTTGTGTTGCACAAGCCACCTGTGTTCTAGCATGGTGAAGCAATGACATGCGCTGTGGCAGTTACCTGAAGATGGTATATTGTTCAAAATCGGCTGTAATACTTTGTCACAAGTGACACCACGACAGGGTCTTTCACCGCCTTATACGTAAACTAAATGTTATCATTGTAATTTACATACTGCGTGGCAACTACAGCAGATTAGGTGCGGTAAATTTACAACAGGGTGTCATCACTGTAAATATCATTATCATTGTCATCATCGTCTTCATGACAGTAAAAGGTGCTCTCGTTGATAACAAAGTGCGGTCAGTCAAATGTAGCTGGCCATTTGTCTTGAACAGTGAACAGAAATGATCATTACTATTCTAGTCGTGCCTGTTGATGTAGATTCTAGTCGTGCCTGTTGATGTAGATTCTAGTCGTGCCTGTTGATGTAGATTCTAGTCGTGCCTGTTGATGTAGATTCTAGTCGTGCCTGTTGATGTAGATTCTAGTCGTGCCTGTTGATGTAGATTCTAGTCGTGCCTGTTGATGTAGATTCTAGTCGTGCCTGTTGATGTAGATTCTAGTCGTGCCTGTTGATGTAGATTCTAGTCGTGCCTGTTGATGTAGATTCTAGTCGTGCCTGTTGATGTAGATTCTAGTCGTGCCTGTTGATGTAGATTCTAGCCGTGCCTGTTGATGTAGATTCTAGTCGTGCCTGTTGATGTAGATTCTAGTCGTGCCTGTTGATGTAGATTCTAGTCGTGCCTGTTGATGTAGATTCTAGTCGTGCCTGTTGATGTAGATTCTAGTCGTGCCTGTTGATGTAGATTCTAGTCGTGCCTGTTGATGTAGATTCTAGTCGTGCCTGTTGATGTAGATTCTAGTCGTGCCTGTTGATGTAGATTCTAGTCGTGCCTGTTGATGTAGATTCTAGTCGTGCCTGTTGATGTAGATTCTAGTCGTGCCTGTTGATGTAGATTCTAGTCGTGCCTGTTGATGTAGATTCTAGTCGTGCCTGTTGATGTAGATTCTAGTCGTGCCTGTTGATGTAGATTCCAGCGGTTGGGATTCGAGTCGCGCCACTTGGATTGAGTCCGACGTAGGTGGCGTAATTAACGACTTGCGACTTGTAGATTTTACAAATGACTCTTTCTTCATGGTCGGTCACTGGGAGGTTTGGGATCAACGTCAGATTTTCAAAACATCTTCATAAAAAAGACAAAATAAATTCTGTTTCGTTTTATAAGATTTCACACTAGTGAGGTTTTTTTTTTCCGCGCTGCAATTTCCGATTTTGTTTTGTGGCCATTTTTGATTGATCCATAAGCAAATGACTTTAAACTGAAGTGACTTGGAAGCATTCTTGTGACTTGAGACTTGACTTTGCACTAGGTAACAGTGACTTGAGACTCGGGTGGCGACTTAAGGGGTGGCGACTTAATCAAACCTTTGATATGTTCTAGCATTGTTAAATATAGTCGCTTGTGACCTCAAGGTACATGCGGCCCTGACGGTCGACTGTCTCCGGGTCATCGAGAATGCCGTTTCCGGGATGCTGCAGCAGGACAGCGATGTCTTCCGGTGGATTTTCCGGCGTGGAGAGATCTACAATCTCAACAAGACCAAGGGGATTCCCTGCACCACCAAACCGCCCGCCCCGTGGATGTTCGGCCAAAGGCTGCTGGAGACCATGAAACAGGTTCTCTATGGTGTGAACAGATGCCTTTTCTTTGGCCAAATCTCTGTCGCTGTTTGAGTGTCTGTATCAGTGGTTCTTAAACATGTTTTAATGGTGTCCTGGGAGTATCTGTGTAATATGTACAGTGATGTATGCACGCTAAGTATAACGATGTGGGTTCTCTAACTACAGTAATGTGAGTGTTCTAATTACAGTGGTGTGTGTGTGCACAAAGTACAGAGATATAAGTGCTCTAAGAACAGTAATGTGGGTGCCCCACGTACAGTGATATGGATGACCTTAGTACAGTTATATGGGTGCTCTTAGTACAAAGATATGAGTGCTTTAAATACAGTGATGTGAGTGCTCTAAACACAATGATGTGAGTGTTCTAAGTTGAGACTTGAATAGGTTGAAAGTAACAAAGGTTAAGCATTAGATAAGTCAAGAGTTACATATGTTGAGAGTTACATATGTTGAGAGTTACATAAGTTGAGAGTTACGCGTGTCGGGAATTACATAGGTTGGGAGTTACATGAGTTGCGAGTTACAAAAGTTGAGCGTTACATAAATCAGGAGAGATACAAGCTGAGCTTGACATGTCTACCACGACAATATCATCAGAAACTCTCATCGACTCAATGAGCACGCTACACAAGATCAAGATGGGCTACATACATAAACAATGGCTCCATCTGATACAGCTCTCAGCGTTTTGCAAAATCACCTTCATGTTTGTACCAGGGTATGCTGGTGTGAAAGTAAACAGCCGATTGATAACAACTAAAAGATCTGGTCTAACATAAACAGCAGATTTATAACAAATACAAGATCTGGTCTGACATAAACAGCAGACTTATAACAACTACAAGATCTGGTCTAACATAAATAGCAGATTTATAACAACTACAAGATCTGGTCTGACATAAACAACAGATTTATAACAACTAAAAGATCTGGTCTAACATAAACAGCAGATTTATAACAACTACAAGATCTGGTCTAATATAAACAGCAGATTTATAACAACTACAAGATCTGCTCTAACATAAACAGCAGATTTGTAACAACTACAAGATCTGGTCTCAGGCAGCAATGCTGAAACAAACTAAACCAGGGGAGGGGAAAGGGGGCGGGGTCGCTCCGACATAAATTGTTTGTGAAATCGATAGAAACTAATACAGAGTTTTTATAAGCTTCATTCTGCCTGGGAGAAGTTCACATAAACGTGTCACAGTAGCAAAGTAATTTACCGGCCAACTTTATGGTGTGATGTCGGCTTTCTGTGTGCAAGGTTGAGTAGATCGGGTGCATGCATGTGTGTGTGTGCGCGTGTGTGTGTGTGCGCGTGTGTGTGCGTGTGTGCGGGTAGCGAGTGACTAAGTTAACGGCAATCAGTAAAGATGAATATTAATCACATCGATGACACTGTTTGTGTGGGGTGTGGGAGGGGCAGAGTTGGAGATACAGACATAAACTAGGGACAGAAAGTGATAAAGAATGAGACAATACCAGAGAAGGAACAGAGAGAGGGCGGGGGGGGGGGGGAGGGAGAGTAAGTGATAGGACGTGAGACAGTCCGAGAAAAGAAACAGAGAGAAAGAGAGAGATTAGGACCGGGCGTGAGACAGTCCGAGAAAAGAAACAGAGAGAAAGAGAGAGTGTAGGACCGGGCGTGAGACAGTCCGAGAGAAGAAACAGAGAGAAAGAGAGAGTTTAGGACCGGGCGTGAGACAGTTCGAGAGAAGAAACAGAGAGGTAGGAAGAGTGAGGCATATAGTGAGAAACAAAAAGACGTAGAGGGTGAGAGTGAGAAAGAGATTTGACAAAGAGACGAGAGCTGACGGATATAGTTCTAGAGAGATTCAGAGGCCTGGATTTACATCGATACAATCTTGGTTTACATCAACAACCCCCTTGGTTCACATCAACAAACTCCTTGGTTCACATCAGCAAACCCATTGGTTCACATCAGCAAACCCCTTGGTTCACATCAGCAAACCCCTTGGTTCACATCAACTTGGTTCACATCAACAAACCCCTTGGTTCACATCAACAAACAACTTGGTTCACATCAACAAACTCCTTGGTTCACATCAACAAATCCATTGGTTCACATCAACAAACTCATTGGTTCACGTTAACAAACCCCTTGGTTCACATCAACAAACTCCTTGGTTCACATCAACAAACTCCTTGGTTCACTTCAACAAATCCCTTGGTTTACATCAACCAACCCCTTGGTTCCACGTCAACAAACCCCTTGGTTCACGGCAGCAAACTCATTGGTTCACGTCAACAAACCCCTTGGTTCAAATCAACAAACTCCTTTTTTCACATCAACAAACTCCTTGGTTCCCATCAACAAATCCCTTGGTTCACATTAACAAGCTCCTTGGTTCACATCAACAAACTCCTTGGTTCCCATCAACAAACTCCTTGGTTCACATCAACCAACTCTGCGGTTCACATCAACAAACTCCTTGGTTCACATCAACCAACTCTGCGGTTCACATCAACAAACTCCTTGGTTCACATCAACCAACTCTGCGGTTCACATCAACCAACTCTGCGGTTCACATCAACAAACTCCTTGGTTCACGTCAACAAACCCCTTGGTTCAAATCAACAAACTCCTTGGTTCCCATCAACAAATCCCTTGGTTCACATTAACAAGCTCCTTGGTTCCCATCAACAAACTCCTTGGTTCACATCAACAAACTCCTTGGTTCACATCAACAAACAACTTGGTTCACATCAACAAAACCCTTGGTTCATATCAACAAGAACCCCTTGGTTCACGTCAACAAACCCCTTGCTTCACGTCAACAAACCCCTTGGTTCACATTAACAAGCTCCTTGGTTCACATCAACAAACTCCTTGGTTCACATCAACAAACTCATTGGTTCACATTAACAAGCTCCTTGGTTCACATCAACAAACTCCTTGGTTCACATCAACAAACTCCTTGGTTCACATCAACCAACTCTGCGGTTCACAGCAAAATCGCGCGAGGTTGTCAGCAGCTAAGACCTTTTTTTCTTCTTTAGAATACAGGTCTTGTTGTTGTTGAATTGTGGGTAAATAGTAATGTCAAATAAAAATTACAGGACAAATGGCAATGATGGAGTGGAGGAGGATGATGGCAGTGATTGAGTAGAGGAGGATGATGATGACAGCAGCTCATTTGCACTCTTCACTATCAATATAATACAAAACTGTCATCATTTATACCCCCTCTAATTTACCTGTCCGACAGAGTACTCTGTAAGTGTTACATAATCCGATCAAACAGACAACACTGATTGCCTCAGTGCTCTACTTTGTCCGTACATGATTAACAAGTACACTATTGACTTTCCCCATAGGAGGACCCCCAAGATACCCTCTGAGAACTGTATTTTAATAATTTCAGACAGTATCCCAGGGTCTGTCGGGAAGTCTGTCTTTCAATGAGCAAGGCTTTCGAAAAGATTTCAATCTGGGAGTATACTCTATGGCACTCGACCTCGGTCTGCAGAAGATTGGTAAGTTGCGAAGATTTATTTCAGTAGCACAATTGTCTATGACAAGCTGGACAGTTGTTCAGTCTGCGATCGAAGCCAAGAGATTTCTTACACGAACACTCGCCTCTATGACAAGCTTGACAATTGTTCAAACTGCTCCTAAAGACAAGAGATTTCTTACACGAACACTTGCCTATATGACAAGCTTGACGTTGTTCAAACTGCTTCTAAAGACAAGAGATTTCTTACACGAACACTTGCCTATATGACAAGCTTGACGTTGTTCAAACTGCTATCAAAGACAAGAGATTTCTTACACGAACACTTGCCTATATGACAAGCTTGACGTTGTTCAAACTGCTATCAAAGACAAGAGATTTCTTACACGAACACTTGCCTATATGACAAGCTTGACGTTGTTCAAACTGCTATCAAAGACAAAAGATTTCTGCATAATTGACATAATATATTCTGTAGGGCTGTGGAAGGCTGTGTTTAGACAGTGTCAACGACAGCGGACTGACATCTTGAGGCATGACAGTTTCTAGGGAATGATTTCTGTAGCTCTAGATAGCCAGCATGATCATAAACAGAGCCCACCCACCACGAGCAAAGCGCAATGACAAGCTAGAGAAACCAGACAGAACAAAATAGTGAATGTTCTACCAGAGCTGAAGATACCCTTGGTATGTGATGCGTGACCGCATGTAAAGCGTGACATTCAAGGGAACGAACGAACGAACGAACGAACGAACGAACGAACGAACGAACGAACGAACGAACGAACGAACGAACAAACTCTATTTTCAAAGGGTTACAAATTAGGCACGCAGGCCCGTCTGACATTCAGCTGATCTGAGCTATCTCGTTACCTTCCTCGTCGCCCTAACATCCAAACCTATTCCAAGACAATTCTGCAACTTGTCTGGTACCTATTTTTGTAAAAGATTTGTTTGATCCCATAGCCACACTGACTGGAAAAACAATCAGACCACTTCTGTGGATAAAACCCAGACCACAGCATCTGCAGGTAAGCGCTGTAACGGCTTCACGGTGTGTTCTACTTCTGCAACTGCTGTTTCTCCGTCTTCTTCGTTTGAAACAAAAAATTGAAATCTCTGGCAGAATCTTCTTTGGTCAAGTTTAATGAGCGGGCCAGTGTTCTGTCAGCAAGGGCAACCTTTCTGGTAGAACAAAGAACAAATGACAGGTACAGCAATCGAAAGGTTGCCATTTGCTTCTCGCTGGACATCGCTGGGTGCAGTCACCGGTCTAAAGAATCTAGAACGTGGTGACTGGGTCAACACCAATTGTGAACAGCCCGCGTACCCATGCGTTTGCTGAGACAGCACGAATGAGAGCAGAATGATGATGGTGATATTGTTGTTGTAAAACTGAGGTTGTCATGGTGATCTTTGTGGTGATAACAAAGATAGCAGTTGTTTTCTCTACATAAATTTTCAAATTACTTTGCACAGAATATGACTCTGATTGATGTGTTTGCAATTCTCACCGACAGGCACCTGGTCCCCGGCCACCAAGTTTGTCAGCGTCCATGCCAGGCCGGCTGCACAAGGTCATGGCCTAGATGATTATGAGCCCAGGGATGTCAATAGCTCCATGCTTACAATCACTTCGATACTGGTGAGTACCTGCACTTTGATACTTTGATACTGGTGAGTACCTGCACTGTGATACTTTGATACTGGTGAGTACCTGCACTGTGATACTTTGATACCGGTAACCTCAATTTAAACTTGCCTGATTTACTATTTCAACCCCACCCCCACCCCCTTTATTTCAAATTTTGGAATGAAACTTGAAGGTTCTATATCTTAACCTTGAGCGACATAGCAGATGTCAATCCCATGGCAACTAACCAGCTCAACATTCTAAACAGTTACAGTCATAGCAACGTAACGGTTTAAGACACTCCACCACCCCCCCCCCCCCCCCCTCCTTTTTTTTTTATTTCAAAATTGCCTTCATTGTGTGGTTCATTTTGCAATCACGTTAGAAGAAAGTCAAAGCTTTCGAATTTGGTTCTGTCAGATGTTTGAATGGCGCTCATCTACACATCCAGGCAAACTAGCTTCTAGAAAGAAAAAAAAAAGGGGGGGGGGGGGGTCATGTCATGATAATAGGATTAATCGTTGTTGTTTTACTACAGTGAATGGATAAGGGATTTGCGAGGGTGGGGAGGGTCCCTGAAGACAGAAAAGGGGTCGACTAGCCCAACAGTGTACAGCGGATATGAAACATCTAGGGGAGTGTAGACAGTGTTAGAGGTAGGAGAACTGACCTGACTGTGAACAGCACATGTCAGACATCTTAGGGAGTGTAGACAGTGTTAGAGACAGGAGAACTGACCTGACTGTGAACAGCATATGTCAGACATCTTGGGGAGTGTAGACAGTACTTGAGGCTGGAGAAATGACCTGACTGTGAACAGCACATGTCAGACATCTTGGGGAGTGTAGACAGTACTTGAGGCAGGAGAAATGACCTGACTGTGAACAGCACATGTCAGACATCTTGGGTAGTGTAGAATGAATTCCAGAGAAATTTGACTAAAAAGCTCAACAAAATGGGAAAGAGGAAAACGTGCACAAAACAACAAAACGTAACGTTTCGGCTGGGCAGCCTTTTTCAAACACAAGTGAAAGACACAAACGAGGAATGGAGAGTATGTAGATCTCTAAGGGGTGACGTGAGCGCTTTAAAAAAATGTGATGCGGAAAAAATGAAATAAAATAAAATAAACGATGGCTAAAAAATATAGTCACAATACTGGGAATAAAAGAAATGCAAGTGGTAATGATACATAAATGATACTGATAAGAAATAGAATAAGGTAATAATATGAAATAAAATAAAAAAATTAACATTTAAAATGTGATAAGATTAGAACTATTTAGATGAAGGTATGTTGGATATTGATACCTCTTGGACTAAGAACGCCAAGGCTGTGGATAAGGCGATTTTCCAAAGCGAGGCGGGTAGTATGATCGCCAGAGCAAGATTTTAATGCTGTGACAGATATGTCATCTTTACCGCTGTGGTCAGGGCTATTAAAATGAAGAGGAGAACTGACCTGACTGTGAACAGCATATGTCAGACATCTTGGGGAGTGTAGACAGTACTTGAGACAGGAGAAATGACCTGACTGTGAACAGCACATATCAGACACCTTGAGGAGTGTAGACAATGCTTGAAGCAGGAGAAATGACCTGACTGTGAACAGCACATGTCAGACATCTTGGGGAGTGTAGACAGTGCTTGAAGCAGCAGAAATGACCTGACAATGTTAGAGACAGCAGAACTGACGCGACACTCGGCAAATACCTACTGCAGGAAGCAAAGAACGCGTGGTTTCAAAACTGTATCGTCTCATGGGTATATGATGATGAATTTATAGCTTATCAGCTCTCAGTGCTGGCAACGATGTGTGATGTTAGAAATGTTGCCGCTACTGTAATTACATCCCACTATCTATACTTGAACACACATGGAACCTATTGGAACCCACATGGAACCATTTTAACGAATCCCCCATGGCGTGTATTTGAACCTCAGACAACAGGCCCATAAAAAGGCTCGCTAGCCACTTCACTCGCTCATTTGTCTACATGATTTGTTAAGCAGTGGCGAATTCACAGATGAGAAAAGCCGTGACTACACGCAGCAATTGCTGAGGGACCCTACACAACGCGACAACAGGGTCTCTCCCAAGGAACGACCGTTCATTAGTCAAAAATATAGCGTCTTGTCTCCCAGTCAGTCTTGAGTATTCTTTCTGGTTTTTTCTTTTCTTTTGTGAGGTTTTTTAACGGCCAATATTTTACAGCTTGTCTCAGAGTTCACTGGTGAAATGCTAATTGAGTCCTAGATTTGATTCCCTGGTGTGTCTGCGTACTTTAAATCTTCCCCGTACGTTTTGATTTCAGGAGCCGGGGAAAAAACTGTTCTCTACTGTTGTGTATGCGAGCAAAATAAAGACAATTTTTCTTCGTCTTCTTCTGTTTCTTCTTCTTCTTCTTCTTCTTCTTCTTCTTCTTCTTCTTCTTCTTCTTCTTCTTCTTCTTCTTCTTCTTCTTTCTTCTTCTTCTTCTTCTTCTTCTTCTTCTTCTTCTTCTTCTTCTTCTTCTTCTTCTTCTTCTTCTTCCTCTTCTGCTTCTTCCTCTTCTTCTTCTTCTTCTTCTTCTTCTTCTTCTTCTTCTTCTTCTTCTTCTCCTTCTGTCTGTCTGTCTGTCTGTCTGTCTGTCTGTCTGTCTGTCTGTCTGTCTGTCTGTCTGTCTGTCTGTCTGTCTGTCTGTCTGTCTGTCTGTCTGTCTGTCTGTCTTTTTTCTTTCTTTCTTTCTTTCTTTCTCCTTTGCTTGTGGATATTCAAATCACTGACACTTCGTAATCTTATTCTTAGTATGTATTGTGTTCAGTTCAAAATGGCAAGATTGTTGTCAGTAACCAGGCACGATCTCTCTTAGACATATTTCTGTTCCACAGATTTTCAAATAAAGATCTCTCTTACATACACAAACATAGACATATTTTCTTACATAGACTGACATAGACACAGTTTTTGAAAAGACTGACATAGGCAACGGTTACCTAGACAGACAATCATTACAAAGACTAACATAGACAACACTTACCTAGACAGACAATCATTACAAATACTTACCTAGACAGACAATCCTTACACAGACTGACATGGACAACACTTACCTAGACAGACAATCCTTACAAAGACTGATATAGACAACCCTTACCTAGACAGACAATCCTTACAAAGACTGATATAGACAACACTTACCTAGACAGACAATCCTTACAAAGACTGACATAAACAGATGATCAGGCAATGCTAAGGGAGAAAAAAGGGGGTGGGGGCGGTAGCGGAAAGACAAGCAGAGAAAAAAAGCAGCCTGTTCGGCAGTGTTCGGGGTGGGGGGGAGAAGGCGAGGGGGGAGGGCGGGGGGGGGGTGGACAGAGAAATTGAGAAATAGTGGTGGCCATAAACAGGTTAATAAAGGGGGTGGGGGAATAGGGTTGAGATGGGGGTGGGTGGGATCGGGGGTCTGTGAAAAATATCAAAGATATCCAGGACTGAGAGAACAACAAATTAGGCAGCCTTTTACGACATGAATGCATTATGAGACCTACCAAGTTATACTTAGGCCCTCTATCGTGACATCAGATATGTCTTCATTGGACCCTATCCTTACGTCTGTATGTGCCTGTGTGCGTTATTATGACTCTGGTGATGTGTGTGTGTGTTGTGTGTTGAGAGTAAGAGAGAATGTGTGTGTGTGTCTGTGTTGTCTTGAAATATTGATTGGGTGCAAAAGAGAAAATAGTATAGTTTATGAATAACGTGTACGACCACAACTTGAACACGGGTCTGCTGCAAGCGCTCAGAGTCACAACAGGCGGGATGGAATCAACACCCATAGTTGTGATGGAGAAGATCGAGATGACCCATACACTGACAGAACAAAGACACACTTAGATACTAATACAAGCAGAAAAGTTTTTTAGCATGCCTGAACACCCTATGAAAGACAGATTCAAAATTCTACTAATTAGGCGACTAAAAAGAAACCGTTTCAACCACAAGGCCCAACGACTCTGAAGGCAAACCAATGATCTGCCGCAACTGATAACCCCTTAAATGCTATTCCAGATCAGACCCTTTGGAAAGAGGATTATAAGTTGCTAATACACATCCAGACTGAAGTGAAAGGATTATTCGACAAGTATGAACAAAACAATGTGCAGTCTAAAACAGCCACCCTCAGTAAACCTGATGATGAACACTCAAATAATCTTTAGGTCCGTGTCTGTACGGATGGGTCAGCACAAAACACATGAAGAAGCAGGAGTGTATATAATATAATAGTATATAACACCAGATTTACGGCCAAAATACCTACAAGAAAGCACTGTCAAAACTATGATGCAGAAGTTCAAGCCGTCAAAATAGCAGCCTAGAAACTGTTAAATATACGTCATATTTCACACCCCGTGGTGTTTCTGCCAGATGCAAGAGCGGTGTTTCAGGCAGTCCAATCTGGAAAACTGTCTAATATACAAACACTACTCAACAAACTAGGCAGTTATCTATGCAATGGATACCACCCCACTGTGGAGTTCCTAGAAATGAAAGTTCTGATAAACTAGCTAAGGAAGGTGCAAATGAAGAACAACCTGACGTACCAGTCTCTTATCAACAAAAGAAGAGAATAATCAAATCAACCAAAAAGCCACTGAAACCACCGGCACAAGATGATTACCATTTTATGGACAGGTCAGAGCAAGCTATTTTTCTACGCCTTAAATTACAAAAGACAGTGAAGTTCATACTAGAGACAACATTGCAGATATTGATAATCTGCTTCAAGCGAACGAAATAAGGAAGAAGAAGAAATAATGATTAGGTTCGGATCAATAACACTTGCTGTCTTGTCTCGCTCGAGCTGACGGTCATATAGGAACCGACTTCTTGCATTAGCCAACAGTTGCCTTCTGGGACGCACTTTCTATCTCACAGTACCATCTCCTGCCCTGCAGGCGGCGCCTCACTTTCATCATCATCATTATATCTACAGACATAGAAGCCCTTTACTAGGGCAGACTATACTTGCTACATTTTGTGACTCAAATCTGCATTCTGTCCACTGAATACACTTTCCCCCCCCCCCCCTTTTCCCTTAACCTCCCCCCCCCCCACCCCACCTCTTCACAATCAATCAGGTGCCGTCTCCACAGTGAAGGTTGGCTGTAAGGGATCTCCAACACGCTCTGTCACTTGGTTGTACACTCTCTCAGACTGCTTCCAGTCCCACTTTTATCATTGCCTACCTCTTGTTCTCTTGCCTTCAAACTTTCCCTCCAGTAGGGTTTTTAAAAGTGTGTTACGTCTTTTCATGTGGCAAAAGTATTCAAAATGTCTCTTTTTTGTTTTAAGTAATTCTCTTGAAATTTTTAGTCTTTCTAGAACTTCCCCCCCCCCCTAAAACCCCCCCCCCCCCGCCCCATCCCCACACCTCCCCGCGCCTCCACTTCTCTCTTTGTTGTCATGACGGGAGTGTGTACATGTTGTCATGTTTTTGTATCACTTTGTGTCGCCTTCCTTCAGTGGTACCTGGCCTGTGGGACTTCTATAAACACGACATGTGTAGGTCTGTCTGTCTGTCTGTCTGTCTGTCTGTCTGTCTGTCTGTCTGTCTGTCTGTCTGTCTGTCTGTCTGTCTGTCTATCTGTCTGTCTGTCTGTGTTCGGGTTCTACAATAACAAAGCGGCAATAACACTAACATTGTGGCACACACTGTTTGGTACCCTGTTTCACGACATTAATACCTCTACTCTAGTGTTTTTTCTATTTTTTCTTTCAGACGGCTCCATTCTTGATGAGAAAGGCGCCCAAATCTGGGGAGCCTCCACTGATGGGAAAAAACAAATATGAGGGTCAGTAATCCGTGCACACAGATACTAGAGTTTAAGGTAGAGGCGTGTATGTCATTGTAAAGTTACGGGGTTTCTGCCTCCTGGCGTGCTTGTCCGGGGTTTAGAACCTCATGTTTCTCAGTCGATCTATAAACCTTGTGTGTCTATGACAAACTTGAAGAAACATCGTGCGGTACTTCTAACGGCCATTGGTAGCAGTCAAAAGAAAGAGCCAACTAAATTATTTCATTCTGTTATTTGACTGACGTCGGGCCCGGCGAGGTCATGTTTCTGTCCCAGGATTTAGATATTGTTGCAACTTCAACAGACTGAAGCCTTAGTTGGTCATGTTTCTGTCCCAGGATTTAGATATTGTTGCAACATCAACAGACTGAAGCCTTGGCTGGTCATGTTTCTATCCCAGAATTTGGATATTGTTGCAACATCAACAGACTGAAGCCTTGGTTGGTGATGTTTCTATCCCAGAATTTAGATATTGTTGCAACATCAACAGACTGAAGCCTTGGTTGGTGATGTTTATATCCCAGAATTTAGATATTGTTGCAACTTCAACAGACTGAAGCCTTAGTTGGTCATGTTTCTGTCCCAGGATTTAGATATTGTTGCAACTTCAACAGACTGAAGCCTTAGTTGGTCATGTTTCTGTCCCAGGATTTAGATATTGTTGCAACTTCAACAGACTGAAGCCTTAGTTGGTCATGTTTCTGTCCCAGGATTTAGATATTGTTGCAACTTCAACAGACTGAAGCCTTAGTTGGTCATGTTTCTGTCCCAGGATTTAGATATTGTTGCAACTTCAACAGACTGAAGCCTTAGTTGGTCATGTTTCTGTCCCAGGATTTAGATATTGTTGCAACTTCAACAGACTGAAGCCTTAGTTGGTCATGTTTCTGTCCCAGGATTTAGATATTGTTGCAACTTCAACAGACTGAAGCCTTAGTTGGTCATGTTTCTGTCCCAGGATTTAGATATTGTTGCAACTTCAACAGACTGAAGCCTTAGTTGGTCATGTTTCTGTCCCAGGATTTAGATATTGTTGCAACTTCAACAGACTGAAGCCTTCGTTAGTCATGTCTCTATCTTAGGATTTGGGTAATGTTGCAAAATCAACAAACTTAAGCCTAGTTTGGTCATGTTTATATCCCAGGATTTAGATATTGTTGCAACATCAACAGACTGAAGCCTTGGCTGGTCATGTTTCTATCCCATAATTTGGATATTGTTGCAACATCAACAGACTGAAGCCTTGGTTGGTGCTGTTTCTATCCCAGAATTTAGATATTGTTGCAACATCAACAGACTGAAGCCTTGGTTGGTCATGTTTATATCCCAGGATTTAGATATTGTTGCAACATCAACAGAATGAAGCCTTTGCTGGTCATGTTTCTAATCCAGAATTTAGATATTGTTGCAACAACAACAGACTGAAGCCTTGGTTGGTCATGCTTCTATCCCAGAATTTAGATATTGTTGCAACATCAACAGACTGAAGCCTTGGTCGGTCATGTTTCTATCCCAGGAGTTAGATATTGTTGCACCATCAACAGACTGAGGACTTCGTTGGTCATGTTTCTATCCCAGCCAGCAAGAGACCGTTAGTGTTGGCGATAGTGTGGCAAACCATCTTCGTGCAGACGTCACTGGATTGACTGGTCAATATATTTTGTTAACCTGTATTCATGTACAAACAATCAGACCCAATGTTTAGACATTTGTTTCTGAAAGATTTCCGGCAGACAATTGTTTCTTCTCATTGCTTAGGTAATTATATCTTTGATTTCCCGCAGACAATTGTTTCTTCTCATTGTTTAGGTAATTATATCTTTGATTTCCCTCAGACAATTGTTTCTTCTCATTGTTTAGGTAATTATATCTTTGATTTCCCCCAGACAATTGTTTCTTCTCATTGTTTAGGTAATTATATCTTTGATTTCCCGCAGACAATTGTTTCTTCTCATTGTTTAGGTAATTATATCTTTGATTTCCCTCAGACAATTGTTTCTTCTCATTGTTTAGGTAATTATATCTTTGATTTCCCTCAGACAATTGTTTCTTCTGATTGTTTAGGTAATTATATCTTTGATTTCCCGCAGACAATTGTTTCTTCTCATTGTTTAGGTAATTATATCTTTGATTTCCCTCAGACAATTGTTTCTTCTCATTGTTTAGGTAATTATATCTTTGATTTCCCTCAGTCAATTGTTTCTTCTCATTGTTTAGGTAATTATATCTTTGATTTCCCTCAGACAATTGTTTCTTCTCATCGCTTAGGTAATTATATCTTTGATTTCCCGCAGACAATTGTTTCTTCTCATTGTTTAGGTAATTATATCTTTGATTTCCCTCAGACAATTGTTTCTTCTCATTGTTTAGGTAATTATATCTTTGATTTCCCTCAGTCAATTGTTTCTTCTCATTGTTTAGGTAATTATATCTTTGATTTCCCTCAGACAATTGTTTCTTCTCATCGCTTAGGTAATTATATCTTTGATTTCCCGCAGACAATTGTTTCTTCTCATTGCTTAGGTAATTATATCTTTGATTTCAAAGTTTCCTATTTAATATTATCCTTTGGAAATAATGTCCATGCAGTTTTCTTTCTTTTATTAAACAATTTTTAAGATAGTTTCATTCTGTCATCAGAAGATTTCGTGTTACTGAATCCATTCATGAACATATTGTCTGCACGGTTATATTGTTCTCGTGTCTGACATGAACCTATTAGGTTAAAGATGGACTTCCAATTGTTACATACCCAGTCATATACATTGTCTCTGACATGCATTTTGCAGGCTACCCTATGAATCAGGAGTTAAATTATATAACTTCCTAGACAGAATTGTCTCTGACATTAACGTGAAGTTATATTATAGCAGTTCATTGACATAATTGTCTCTGACGTCCGCGCAAAGTTACAATATATCTCAACATTAACATATTTGTCTCTGACGTCCACGTAAAGCTTCATTAAATCTAAACATTGACATAATTGTCTCTGACGTCCCCCTAAAGTTACATTATATCTCAACATTGACATAATTGTCTCTGTCGTCCACGTAAAGTTACATTATATCCAAACATTGACATAATTGTCTCTGACGTCCACCTAAAGTTACATTATATCTCAACATTGACATAATTGTCTCTGGCGTCCACGTAAAGTTACATTACATCTAAACATTGACATAATTGTCTATGGTATCCACGTAAAGTTACATTGTATCTAAACAAGAACATAAATGTCTCTGACGTCCACATAAAGTTATATTATATCTCAACATTGACATAATTGTCTCTGACGTCCACATAAAGTTACATTATATCTAAACAATAACATAATTGTCTCTGACGTCCACGTAAAGTTACATTATATCTAAACATTGACATAATTGTCTCTGGCGTCCACGTAAAGTTGCATTATATCTAAACATTGACATAATTGCCTCTGGCGTCCACGTAAAGTTACATTATATCTAAACAATAACATAATTGTCTCTGACGTCCACATAAAGTTACATTATATCTCAACATTGACATAATTGTCTCTGACGTCCACATAAAGTTACATTATATCTAAACATTAACATAATTGTCTCTGTCGCCCGCACAGAGTTTCATTATATCTAAACATTGACATAATTGTCTCTGACGTCCACGTAAAGTTACATTATATCTAAACATTGACATAATTGTCTCTGACGTCCACATAAAGTTACATTTTATCTCAACATTGACATAATTGTCTCTGACGTCCACATAAAGTTACATTATATCTAAACATTAACATAATTGTCTCTGACGCCCGCGTAAAGTTTCATTATATCTAAACATTGACATAATTGTCTCTGGCGTCCACGTAAAATTGCATTATATCTAAACATTGACATAATTGCCTCTGGCGTCCACGTAAAGTTACATTATATCTAAACAATAACATAACTGTCTCTGACGTCCACATAAAGTTACATTATATCTCAACATTGACATAATTGTCTGTGACGTCCACGTAAAGTTACATTATATCTAAAAATTAACATA